GTCTCCTTGAAATACTGAGTGGTGGTAGGTCAGGGGAGGATGAATAGTGAGCAGTGAGGAGGGGACACTGAGCAATGACTCTGGGGTAAATGAATGGACAGAGGAACACTGTGGTGATTGCTATCAGGAAAATGTCCTTTCAGGCAGAGATGGAGGTATGAAGAGATAGGGAATGCCTACTATATTGCATACTGKTCATGCCATTTAGGTTTAAATGGTATTTTCTAAGTTATTTTTCAGTCACCAAACAGTTTTAAATTGAAATGCCACACAAGGAATCTTCCAGTTACTGTCCAGCTCTATAGCCTAAATTTCTTTTCTCGCTGCTGAAAGGTTTTGCAAGATTAAATATTACTAAAAGTTCTATCTATCTCTGTTTCTGTCAAGAGCTTCTTAACATTGAATATTAAAATAATATATTGCTTTTTCTAGTCATTGGCTATTTTTGCTTAATATTTCATAAAAACAAAGTTTTTTCATTACCAGTGAACACTTCATTCTGACCTAAAAAAAATCAAATTCTTAGTAAAATTTCAAAGTTACCTGTATATTTTTAGATGATGTTTACTTCTTAGAATGTTAAAGATTTACCAAAATTATTTGTTTTTATTCATTGTGAAGGGCAATATACCCGAAACTACATTGCAGGATAAAACATTTTTCTTTATAAGATGCTTTCTCATGTATTTTGTATTATTCCATATTGAATATTAAGAAAAACTGAGATATTTTATAGTCTCTTTTGCTACTGAACACAGTTTTATGACAGAAGATAGTCACTGTAATTGCTTCCATTTGAACTAGTAACTATGTGATCAACTATTGGAGACAGTCTCATATATTTTTGTGAGCAGCCAAAGAAAGAAAATAACAAAAGAAACTTGTTATAGAAGTTTCTTATAGAAGTAATTTTTAATTTTGTGTAGCTTTTATAATAGTTATGACTCTAATATTTGCAATTGGATTTGATAAATTGCCTTACAATGTTTTGAGACTTGCAAATAAAAATGCTTATTTATCAATGATTGCTTAGCTATGTGATGTTTTAACAAATATGGGAGCATCTGACGAAAGATTTCTAATTTTTTCTCTTTTCATTCTTTTTTTTTTTCTAGAATTTTATATCAGGGATTTTTCACAATTTAGCMAAAAATATGATTCTGTTTTGCTTCACTCTCTGTAAGTTACATGAAGTAACTGTGGATTATAGTATTCRGATCACAGAGAAAAAGTTTGCAAATATTGTGAAAGTTAATTGCCTGTGTTTCAAGAGAGCAGCAGCATGTGAGGCATTCAAGGGAAGGCCATTAGTTAACTGAGTTGAGGAAGCACTTACCAGAGAACGATC